CCAGGCGCCCCTGGGCTGCCCAGTCTTGAAAGGAATCCAGCTCATGGTCCCGAACCTGGCCCTGACGCCGGGGTCCTCAGCTGCAACTAGGTCCTCAGGGCATTTTGAGTTAATTCTTGTGAAAGGTTTAAGGTCTGTGTCTAGATTCATTTCTTTGCAAGTGGATGTCCAGTGTTCAGCACTATTTGTTAAAAAGACAATTTTTTTCTCCATTGTATTGCCTTTGCTCTTTTGTCAAAGATTAGTTGACCATATTTATACGTGTCTATTTCTGGGTTCTCTATTCTGTTCTATTGGTCTGTTTGCCTGTTCTTTCAGCAATACCACACTGTCTTTGATTACTGTGTTTGAAATAGTCAATGTATTTGAGATTTGCATTTGAAATACAATGAATGCTATTTATGTGAAAGTTTAATGATTTTAAATTTTAACAGAGTCAAGATGAGTAAGTAGCAATTATTAACTGGGCTATTTGGAAAGAGCCATTTATTCTTAGTTTGACAGCTGTTGTGTGTGGATGTATATAAAAAAGTAAATGTAAATAAGGACATTTTATTATTCCTATGGTATGGTAATTTTTTTTCTAGAAAAAAGTTCTACTTCATATGATGAGATCATTGTCATCACAATAGTAGCTAACATTTTCATAGTCCTCATTATGTGCCAGTCACATTTAAGTGTATCACACATTTATCTCATTTAATCCTCACATCAGCCCTTTGAAGTAATATTAATGCTAATCCCACTTGACAGATGAGGAAACTGAGGCACAGAAAAATTAAGTCAAAGACCTCACAGGTAGTAAGTGGTGTTGTCAGAACTCTAACCCAGGCAGTCTGGCTCCAAAATCTGTGTTTTTAACCACTACACTATTAGTATTCCCTGGTGCCACCCTACCAAATTTTATAACCACGATTCAGCTATCTAAAGCACTGTGGGAACAAGGTGTAAAAGAGCCTCGGTTTGTTTATTCTTGGATAAGAAGTACTGGGGAATGGAAGTCACAACTTACTAAAATTAATTACTTGATGAGAAATTTCTGGACTAAATATACCCATTTAAGAATTAAATATTGACAGAAAAAGTTTCCAACAGGAGCATTGGTAAAATGTTAGAAGTCATCTGTCTTTAAGTATTTAAGTGATGATCTGAATTTCAATAGTGATTTCTTCTGAGACTCTGGAAGGCATTCTGCTTTCTTCGTACTAATGTATTATAAACTGAGAAATGATTTGTGAATTGGAGGAAAAAAACTTTTTTGTTGTCTATTAATAAAGCCAAAGTAGAAGGTGAAGAAGGCATCAGTTGAATGACTACTTATGTACTTTAAAGATTTTTTATGTGTGATAAAGTGCTATTTTTAGCTCTCATGATCTAAACATATATAATATTTTAAACTGTGATTATTTAATCAAAAAGGACTCATACTTCTGTAAAAATTATCTATAATTACTATGAAAGCATAATATCACAAATAAGGAAGCTTTGTTGAAGTTTTTGGAAAAAAAAAAGTCATTAGAATGTTTACTTAATTCTGGCCCATGTCTCCCTAAGATAGAGTGACACACTTCCTCCACATATATTATTGGGCACAAAAACTGTTAAACTGTGTTTAAAAAAAAACAACTTTAATAAACATACTTAAGTTTTCTGATTTGGTTGAAAAAATTAAAATCTCTTAAAATACATTGTAACTTACCTTCAGTTAGAGATGAATCACCCCTACCCCAGCATGAGAATTTAAGCTTGTAAGCTGTAAACATTAAGGAGAAAATCTCTTTGTAATTTTCATTATTTATTTACTTACTTATTTTTAAAGTAAGCTCTACACCCAATATGGGGCTTAAACTCAGGACCCCAAGATCAAGAGTCACGTCATGCCAAGTGAGCCAGCCACACATATATATACCTATAAAATCATATAAACAGGATTTATGTGATTTTTTTTTTTTAAAGATTTTATTTATTTGACAGAGACACAGCGAAAGAGGGAACACAAGCAGGGGGAGTGGGAGAGGGAAAGCAGGCTTCCCAAGGAGCGGGGAGCCCAATGCGGGGCTTCATCCCAGGACTCTGGGATCATGACCTGAGCTGAAGGCAGACACTTAACGACTGAGCCAGCCAGGCGCCTCAGGATTTATGTGATTTTTAAACAATATTTCAAACAGACTATTATGTAGTTTTTTTGGCTTTGCTTTTATTTTTACTTTTTTTTAATTTTTTATTTTAAAGATTCCATCTATCTGAGAGAGAGAGCACGAGTAGGGGGGAGAGGGAGAAGTGGACTCCCCGCTGATCAGGGAGCCCATTGTGGGACTCAATCCTGGACTCTGGGATCATGACCTGAGCCAAAGGCAGATGCTTAACCGACTGAGCCACTCAGATGCCCCTATTTGTACTTTTAAAAATATTAAATGAGGCTTGTTCTCTTCTCAGCTCCATTTTCCCTAAAAACTGCCACTACTTTTCCCTTTACATACTATTTTTGTCATGATAATTATTATTTTTTTATTTTTTTAAAGATTTTATTTATTTATTTTGCCAGAGAGAGAGAGAGAGAGAGAGAGCACAAGCAGGGGGAACCGCAGGCAGAGAGAGAAGCAGGCCTTTTGCTGAGCAAGGAGCCTGATGTGGGACTTGATCCCAGGACCCCAGGATCATGACCTGAGCTGAAGGTAGACAATTGACTGAGTCACCCAGGCGTCCCTCATGATAATTATTTATAGGGATGACAGTTGGTTACACACCCCCGTTAAAAAAAAAAAAACAAAAAACCCTACACTTATCTCATAGATGAAAAAAACTTAGATGAAAAAAACAATGTAAAGTGACTGTGTAATGGATTTTTAACCCTTAAGTAGTAGAGGACACAGCTCAGTCTGAAAAAGTAAATATAAGAGCAAAATTTCTCTGAAGCACTATGTAGTTTAATAATTATATCAATCCACTACTCTATTGCATCTAATTGCAATGAGTATATTGGTATACTTAATAGTTTTTTGTCTTTGGATTATTTCTAGGGACAACTTTCCAGGTGTGGTATTTACAGAGATTTTAAAATCATTTTTAATAATTGTTCCCAGGGTCCCCTGGGCGGCTCAGTCAGTTAAGTGTCTGACTCTTGATCTCAGCTCAGGTTTTGATCACAGGGTTGTGAGTTGTTCCCAAATGGTTTTTAAAATTATTTTTATTATTTATTTTTAATGGATAAACGGGTGTTTATTTTATTGTTACCCATTTTGAACTGCCAATTTACATCACATATACTTTTTTGTATATCTCAGTTCTCTAGGGCTGCTAAAACAAATTGTCACAAAGGAGACATCTTAAAACAACAGAAATTTATTCTCACACTTCTGGCAGCTAAACCAAGGTGTGGGTAGGGCCACACTCCTTTCAAAGGCTCTGAGAGATAATCCTAGGAGAGTAGTATAGATCTACACATTTTAGGAATAACTTCTGCTTGAGTGTTTTTCATTCTTTTAAAATAAAAATGTAGTGGATTTTATTTTATTTTTATTATTACTTTTTATTTTTAAGTAGGCTCCATACCCAGCATGTAGCCCAACATAGGGCCTGAAGTCCCGATCCTGAGATCAAGACCTGAGCTGAGATCAAGAGTTGGATGCTTAACCCACTGAGCCACCCAGGTGCCCAGTGAATTTTAGCTCTTAAAAAAAAGGATGTTTTTCCTCCATAGCCTGAACGTACTGTTTCCTTTTTCCTTGGGCCTACCTTGTTTCCTGGGATCCATGTTGCTTTTTTTCTGCTCACTTGACATTAAAACAGTGGAAGGGTAGTCAGGCTCACCTGGCTCTGGGTATGAGCTGGCCTTGATCCCCGTAACCGTTCCTCCTGATGCTGCCATATTTATTTTCTTTACTGAAGTATAGTTGATACAAATATTGCATTAGTTTCAGGTGTACAACATAGTGATTCAGCAACTCTATATGTTATGTTATGCTCACCATAAGTGTAGCTACCATCTGTCACCATACAACACTGTTATAATACTACTGACTATATTCCCTATGTGGTACCTTTCGTCCCTGTGACTTATTCATTCCATGCATATAATATCTTCTTTATCCACTTGTCTATGAATGGATACTTAGGTTGCTTCCATATCTCGGGTATTGTAAATAATGCTGTAATGAATATGTGGGTGCATCTATCTTTTTGAATTACTGTTCTTGTTTCCTTTGAATACATACCCAGTAGTGGAATCACTGGATTGTGTGGTATTTCTATTTTTAAATATTTGAGGAAGCTCCATACTATTTTCGACAGTGGCTAACCAATATGCATTCCTACCAACAGTGCACAAGGGTTCTCTTTTCTCCACATCCTCACCAACATTTGTTATTTCTTGTCTTTTTGATATTAGCCATTCTGACTGGTGTGAGGTAGTATCTCATTGTGGTTTTGATTTGCATTTCCCTGATGATCAGTGATGTTGAACATTTTATCTTGTGTCTGTTGGCATTGTTCCCAAATGTTTGAAAGAATCATTTATACAACTCATTTTATCAAAACCTAGCTAGATTGTTTTATATTATTTAAAATTATAATTGCTTCCTTTATTAACTTGAAATTTCAAAGTTGAGATGAATTCTTGCTTTTCAAATTTAGCTCTATGATTCTTTTTGTGTGTATGATATTTGAAGAAGTATGAAAATCCTTTATCACCCTTCTCTTGATATGTGGAAAGTCAGATTTGTTTCCATTTGTTAATATGTAATGCACTTCTCGGAAATGTGAAAGATCTAGTCTTTGGGTTCTAAAATCCTTTAATATGTCAAGTCCTGATAATATTTCTAGCTACCTGAAAATGATTGAATTGGATAAGAATCTGTTTTTTCTTTCCTCCCAGCATTACCCACCAGAACAATTCAGACTTTTCATAAATAGTAATGTCAGTGTTCCTTTGGTAGTAAATATTTAAAAGAGGAATTAATTCTAGAAAAGGTGATTTTTATTATATTTTTACCCTACTCTAGATGCTGATCATTGCACTGGACTTTAACTTGCAGTTTTTTTTAAAGCAGGAGTTTTAAGGTGACTTTGGATATTAGCATTTTTCCCCAAGTTGTTTTGGATTTGAATGGACAACCTTTTGACATTGAGTATTCCTTGGTGGGACTAAAAAATTTGCTTGAATAGCTAGCTGACAAACCTCTGTAACCTGTAAATAGGCTAGACAGATGCTATACATTTCTAAAACCAAAGTATTTTTAAAGGAGAGTTTTGGAAAAATAGGAAATCCTAGCTGTCAAATGTACAAAGATGAACGTTCCGAAAGAATTGCTGAATCATGAATGTAAAGCTGCTTGGCATATAGAGTTGGTGTTCCCATATCTTTAAAGGTTAACACGTGATCATTAACTTTTCATCATATTCTAAACATATATGTACATTTACTTTTCCTTTACATGTTCTGTTTTTCTTTTAAGCTTACAGATTTAAGGTATTTATAGGGCTCTGTGCAATTCTTTTCACATTTTCTTATTAATCCATCTTTCCATATTAGAAATGGGAACATTTTTGAAAATATAACATGACAATATAGGAGATAAAAGATGAGTAATATACATTGAAAATTTTTCTCATAAGTATCATATATATATATATATATAAGCAGACATTGAAAGGGTATATAAATGATAGGACATAAACTTTGTTAACAAAAAAAATACAAAACTACAACAAATAAACATAAGTATCTATGAGAAAAAAAGGACTAGAAGGAAATACACTAACATTTAGCAGGGATTACCTAAAGTGGGATGATAGGGAGGTTTTTATTTTATACATTTTTCTTCTTTTTTCCTTCTGTGTTTTCCAAAATCTTCAGCAATGAGTATTGCTATTTATAATTAGGGAAATGTGTTTTTAAAAGAAAAAAATACTTCTCATATATCACTGCCCCATAAATAGCATATCCAGATTTTAAGATGATCCAGTCAAGGTCTTATAAGAAACATGAGTATTTACTGTCTGTAACCTGATACTTGTCTTCTATCTTTCCTGCAGCACAAAAATTCTTTAAATAGTGACCCTAGGAATTGGGTGGAGGTGGGGGGGGGGTAGTGGGATCTCATTCTGTTTTTGCTGAAGTAACTAAAATGATCAGATATGAAGCTTTCACAAATATTTAGTTTGCCAGAACTATTAACTCTTGTATACTACAAAAAACTAGTTAAAACCACTAGCTAAAATAATATTTGAGTCCCTTATTGCTTTTGATGTGTATGATATGTAGCCTTTTACAATGTGAAATTGGCATATTGACTTCCTGGCATTGCTGGATCCCAGGAATTCTAAAAATGACACAAATTATCTGAAAATTTTAATTTAAACAAACCAGATTTTAGTATTGTGTATCTTACATTTGGATAACTTGAAATTAAAATTAAAATACCTGAAATAAGTTCAAGGGTACCTTCATTTGTATAATACTTTTAATTTATTTTAACATAGGATGCCTAATGGCTGTAATTATTTTTGTTTTTTCACCTACAATAGAGTAAATAAATATGTAGTTATGACCTGCTATGCTGAAATATTGGTTTTTGAATCCACTCCCCTTCTTAAAAAGGAAATAAAAATGGGAGAGCCAGAAGGAAAATGAATAGTTAATCGTGGAGGAGGAGAAAACCTAGCTCAGTACTTTGACTAGAGGCAGCTGGGGAAGTGACGTCCTGTAGCATTTGCTGTTCTAGAAAGTACAGAGACACGTAGTGAAAATGGGAGGATCTAGAAGGAGGCTGTCTCCTGTGTAGTGTATATTTATCTGTAAGTGAGCCTTTGGGGAAGGAATTAAATACAGAGACGCGGTTTGCTTGCTGCCTTAAGACAGCGAAGCTGAATTGCTGATTTGCTTTAACTTTTAAAATACCCAGCTTGGTTTATTTTTCTTAGAATCGTACTGCTAAGACTGGGGACGCTGTTTTCTTTCACAAAGGGAAATCTAAGTTCATTTCAAGGCATTCGAAATGGGGAAAGACTATTATTGCATTTTGGGAATTGAAAAAGGAGCTTCGGATGAAGATATTAAAAAGGCTTACCGAAAACAAGCCCTCAAATTTCATCCGGACAAGAACAAATCTCCTCAAGCAGAGGAAAAATTTAAAGAGGTCGCAGAAGCTTATGAAGTATTGAGTGATCCTAAAAAGAGAGAAATATATGATCAGTTTGGGGAGGAAGGTAAGTATTCCGTGTATATCTTTTGGTCTCTCCAGCTCTGTCTCACTCTCTCTCTTTTTCCTCCCTGCTCTTTCAGCCTTCTGGTTATCTTTAAATTAAATTCTCAGACATCAAAGTAGAAAGACAAATAATGGATAAAAATAAGATTTTATCTTTGATCATCTGAATGAATATTATTACATAGCTGTGAATGAAATGTACTTGTTTGCCTTTTTTTTGATTTTGGCATTTTGTAATATATATATCTTCTGCCATTAGATTTATAATGTTAACATTGTATATTTGAAAAGAAACATTACATTCCCATACCCATTAATGAATTGTGTCAAAATTATGCAACCTGTTTTGTTTTCTAATGAATTTTCTGCCGGAACCACTAAAGGTCCTTCACTCATTTAAAATGTTAAGATTGGCAGTTCAAATTCTGGGTAGTTTATATTTTATTCACAAAAACAAAACAAGTTTTTTGCCTCTCTGATAAGCAATTTAATTTAGATTGAACAAGATAGAATCGTCTGTCTGAGAAGCAGAAGGCCCAGGCATTTAGCTCTGGTTGTTTTTGGCATTCTGCCTAGAGAGGAAAGAATTTTCCTGATGTCATAAAATACCAGAACAAGTTTTTAGCTTAATTGTAAACAGTAATTGTGTGCCAAGAAAATGAGATCTCAGAAATACAGTTTTTGACCTAAAATGGCCACCTCATTAGAACAGTTATTGATTTACTTATAGGTCACATTATGTCTTCAGAAATTTTACTACCTAGGTATAGAGGAAAGCATGACAACTTCCCTTTGCTCTTCCTGCCATACTTTTCTTTCATCGTGAGATCAGAAACTAGTTGAGTACAGTAAATGGGGGTTATTAAGATTATCCCTTTATTGTTCTGTATTTTAAATTAAGTTTGTCCATCATTTCCATATAAATGTAGCTATAAAGTAGGACTATTTTAAATTGCTAATTAACAGCAACAACGAAAACACTTTAATTCCTACAGATTCTGGGATTTTCAACATTTTGAATCAGGACTAAGTTACTTCATTATTAATTTTTTTCTCCCAAAATGTCCTCTTTTAAATCATTGTAGTTACGAAAACCTTTTTTATTTCTTTGCCTCCTTTATTGCATTTAACATAAAGTTTTCCTAATCAGATATATGCTAAAATACAGTGAAGCAGTAACTGCTTATTTTGAGTTAAAAAAACTAAACTTATATAAGCAGGGTGATTGTGTAAAGGGTTTTTTTTTTTTTTTCCTGTCTTTGTTTTGTTTTTCTTTTTGATTTGAGTTGCCAAAAATTGCAATTTCTGCTCTTGGTTTTGGTGTGATGAGGACCTGCAGTGTCAGGGTCTTACAAAGTCAATATAGAAAAAGGCAAGCAATGACCAGTTCAATTCTGCCTGTCCCTTATGGCCTTACTAATCAAAATACTATGATTTGGTTCATCTTGAAAGCTAAGCAGGATTCTGAGATACTACAAACAATATACTCTTTCTAAAGAAGTTATTTGTGATTTTGTAAAGAAATCCACAAACATTCCCCTGTAAAAGCAGATAGCCCTTGCTTAAACAATATCTCACTGCTAGCTCAAATTTGTTTATAACTAAGCCATAGGATTCAGTGTTTTCTAAGGATATTTATCTTCAGAATTTTCAGGTCATCAAATGATACATTTTTCTTGGCTTAACATTACCTCTTATTAGTGTTTTTCTTGAGTGATGTTTCTCTAGGTTGACTTTTACTGATCATTATCAGTGAATGAATTTTTAAAAAATGAAAGCAATATCATCTGTGTACCCTGAATCTTTTTTTTTGTTCTTGATTCAGATAATTGATATAAGCAATAGAGGTAATAGGGAAGAATAAGTGTTTTAAAGCATTGAAATAAATTCAGAAATACTCTCTAATTATGAGTTACTTGAGAATATAGTTAAATGAAAACTATTTGACTATGTTTTAGAAATTACTCTTTCTTTACAAAAAAGCATTATGTTTATTTGCTCTTTATTCAGAATAGCTCATTTATACTTTGGAAAAATCCCTTTTAGGTATACTGTTTAAATGGGAAAACATTTTTTCTCTTTGCCGTTCATTGATCAGTTTATGCCTGCAGGGCTGGTTCCATCACCCAATGTGTTTCTCCAGTAGTAACAAAATACTGAATTTTAGGACTGTGGGGCTATTAGTAATTTATGTAATATACTCCTTACCCCCCTCCAGTTATTACACTGTCTTTCAAGGCCTGGGACAATGGGAACAGGAACCATGAACTGAGAAGTGTATGAGTTGAAGAAGCTAAATTTATATAGTTAGAAAGTAAGAGAACCGGTGATCCAGTTTATTCATGTTTTGAAAATCTCTAATATCCACAATTTTAAAGGCTTGGTTTAAAAAAATTTGGATAAAAATAGAGATGTTTTAAATTTACCATATGACCCAGCAGTTCCACTCATAGAAATCTATAAAAGAGAAATGAAAACATAGGTCCACAAAAAGACATGTATGTGAATATTCATAGCAGCATTATTTGCAATGGCCCCAAACTGGGAACAATTTAAAAGTACTATCATTAAGTGAATGGATAAACAAAATGTGGCATATATGTACACACACACACACACACACACACACACACACACACACACACACGTACATGCTGGAATACTACTTAGCAATTAAAAGGATTGATATAATAAAACATGCTGCAACATGGATGAACCTCAAAAACTATGCTAAATAAAAGAAGTCAGATGTCAAAGGCTACATATTCTGTGATTCCATTTATATAAAATTTGTAGAGAAAGAAAGCAGATCAGTGGGTTGCCTAGTGCTAGAAGTGGGAGCAGGGGTTAGCCACAGATAGAAACAGAGAGAACTCATTGGGTTGATGGAAATGATTGATAACTGGATTGTGATGGTGGCTGCACAACTCTACAACTTTATTGAGATCACTGAATTACATATTTGCAATGGGTTAATTTTATAGTGTGTAATAAGCAAAGCTATTTTTAAAAAGAGAGGAATGTTCTCCATAGTTGAATCATTTGAAAACAAAAAAATACAACTACGTAAATTGAAAATTGGATTTTGAACCTGTCCCTCCCAGAAGGTTTTAGGTTTAGTTCTGAATTGTTCAGTGGATGTCAACAAAAGTTTGTATTAAAAGACTGCAAAAAAAATCTTTTAGTAACACATCCTTACAGTAACCTAGTACTCCCACAGTTCTTTTTCCTTATGCCTTTTTTTTATTTATAGTTTACCCAATAACTTTCTTTAAATACTGAAAGGTAGTATTTATATGATCAAAGTTGTGTTTAGTATATTAATCTATACCAGCTTGCTTCTTCAGTTCTTTAGTTTCCATATTTAATCAACTGGATCTCTTTTTATTTACTATGTATTTTTAAAAATAAGTTGGATTTTTGTGAGTCAAAGCTGCTTAAAGGTTCTCATTATGCTAGTAACTCTGTAAGTCTTGCTATAAATCTAGATTTTTACATATCAGATCTCCTTAAAGTGTGAGTTATTAAAGTCCTGTAATTTTTTTCTTTTAAATCCTAATTCTTCTCCAATGCTGCTTCTTTTGGCACACTTTAACTACTGGAAATCATGGTTATAGATAGTATACCGAACATATATTTGTTTTTGGATTGCAAATTGGTTGGTTGGTTTTAAATAATAGCAGTCTTGCTACAGCATAGGCAAATGTTGATTCTAGAGCATATTCCTTGATCACACAAAGTGATGATGGTGTCTAGAAAACATTTTGGAGAGCAGAGGGAATCCAATTGAATATTAAAATTTTCCATAAGCAGTCAAAATGTATGTAATAAAGAGTTGACTGTATAGTTGATAAGATGCCTGTTACAATTCGAGTGCTAGGCAAAGCAGTACTTGCATAATAATTCATGTTATACTGTTGAGAGTTTCGGTAGGATTTTTGCAGTCATTTATATAGTAGCCTTGTCCTTTATCTAAGCTATGTACTTGACTGTTTAGTGTCAAGGAAAACCTCAAAGCTTCATTGGAGCCTTTTTGTCAGCTTTGATAAATGCCGCTTCAGACTGTGAATCTTCTCAGGAGCTCTGTAATCCTGATTGAGTTACCATTTTTGGCAGAGGGAAGAGGTTTTAGGGAAAAGCCAAACCCATAATACAATAACTTAAGATGTTATTCCTTCTTTTCATGAATTTATTATGAGTCCAAACATTTAGATATTGTCTTGTAGAGAGTTAGATTGGGCAAGCTAATTTACTCAATTTATGTTATTAACTGTCTGTTAAACTATTATGCTCTATTATATTTGTGGGATGGAAGATGAAACGATTAAAGTAATTTAAGCATTTGTTTAGTCACACTGGTCATGACCTTGAGTTATATATGTAACCTATCATTTATAAAAATCTGTCTCTAGCTTTTTTTTTTTAACATTTGGAGTTATAACTGTACCACTAAAATTTATAAAAAGAAGTATGTATGAGCTGCATGTTAATATCCTTGTTCTGCTTATACCTGCCATTCTGTTTCTATAAGGGATATCCTAACTGCTCTTTGGATATATCATTCAATTCATATTTTGACGGTTTTCAGATTATTAGACTTTTCTTGGTCTCTCCAGATTTCTATTCATGGATGAAGGTAAAAATGTAAACATCAGCTGACACTGTTGGATGAAATAAGAACATATGTATACCTTTTAATGGAAGAAGCCAAATAGAATAAAACATGCAAAACTAAGTCTCTTTGAAAGCATGCTGAGTATAATTTTTTATTATTAAGTCTCATATGTGTATGTGTGATTATACTTTATATTGCTTTTGCTTTTGCCTCTTCTCTATCCTGATACTCAAGACACCTTTTAAAGTTTAAATAGACTTTAAGAACTAGTTCATTCTCTATTCAATAAATATGAGCCCCTATCATTTTCACCCTGTATACATGAGCAATGCAAAAATGAATAAAATATATTTCCTGCCCTCAAATTACTGTTTGAACATATTAGAATCTCTTAGTTTAATCCCTTGGATTTATCACAGTTTTAAAATTTTTAGATTTTCTTCCTGCTTGTTTCCTTCATCAGGAATGCCCATAAGGCTCATTCAAAAACTTTGCTACTACTGTAACAATATAAATCCTTGTCAGTATTGATCCCTTAAAAGATCACTGTACTAATGTTTTGTGGGTTTTAATAGAAACTTTCTTTGGTATATAATGGAAAATGCTGCTTCAAATATGTGATCCCTTGTGAGCTACATATTACTTAGTTGAACCTTAAAGAACAGGATCGGGGTGCCTGGGTGGCTTAGTCATTAAGTGTCTGCCTTTGGCTCAGGTCATGATCCTGGGATCGAGCCCCACATTGGGCTCCCTGCTCTGCGGGAAGCCTCCTTCTCCCTCTCCCGCTCCCCTTGCTTGGGTTCCCTCTCTCACTGTCTCTCTTTGTCAAATAAATAAATAAAATCTTTAAAATAAAGAACAGGGTAAAAAGGTCACTATCTTGGTGTCTGAAGCAAGTTGTCCACAGTAGACAGAAATAACCAGTCCAAAGGACTTACATGTCAAGAGGGTTTACAGCACTTGGTTTTAGACTTTTTTCTACATGCTGTTGAAATTAATGCTATCAGATGGTATGCCTAGATAAATAATTTTGTTAGCTAGAATAGGGATAATAATTTGGAGTCTAAAAAAACATTTTTCATTGGGTGTCCTATTATCATCTTTCTGCCACAGAAAGAGTTCTATTTTAATTAATTCTTAAACAATAAAAGAACTGAAATAAAGCTAGTTAGTATGAATATGGCATTTTATATTATTGATTATACTCACTGATTATAATGGCATTTAAAAACTTAGGTTATGCATTTTGCATTGATTACCAAAGACCTATTTCAATTGACATCTTTTGAAAACTTATATTTATAGACTTCAGATTGTCCAACTAGTAGTTTATGAGATAACAGGTTCCCGGTTTTATTTTCTTATTTACCAGTGGAACAAAGATTCAGGAATTAACTGTCACTAAAGATGGGGGTTTGGAGGAAGAATTTGAAAGCTAAAAATTTAACTTAGGATAGAATGGTCAAAAATTAGGTAGCTGGGGGGTGGGGGGATGGGTTAGCCTGGTGATGGGTATTGAGGAGGGCACGTTTTGCATGGTGCACTGGGTGTTATGAATAAACAATGAATCATGGAACACTGCATCAAAAAAAAAAAATTAGGTAGCTGTTCTGCATTTAGTGATAATGGCATTTCTGGCCAATATTAATAGATTGTAACCTAAGTTGGCCAAAGTTTATTAGTAATACAATTTTTGCAAGTTTAACTTTCAAGAGTTGCAAGCTTTTTTCTAATCATGTTTATCTGTTCACTTAGGGTTGAAAGGAGGAGCAGGAGGTACTGATGGACAAGGAGGTACCTTCCGGTACACTTTTCATGGCGATCCTCATGCCACATTTGCAGCATTTTTTGGAGGTTCCAACCCCTTTGAAATTTTCTTTGGAAGACGGATGGCTGGTGGTAGAGATTCTGATGAAATGGAAGTAGATGGAGATCCTTTTAGTGCCTTTGGATTCAGCATGAATGGATATCCGAGAGACAGAAATTCTGTGGGGCCATCCCGCATCAAACAAGATCCTCCAGTTATTCACGAACTTAGAGTATCACTTGAAGAAATATATACTGGTTGTACCAAACGGATGAAGATTTCTCGAAAAAGGTTAAATCCTGATGGAAGGAGTTATAGATCTGAGGACAAAATTCTCACCATTGAGATTAAAAAAGGGTGGAAAGAAGGCACCAAAATTACTTTTCCAAGGGAAGGAGATGAAACACCAACTAGTATCCCAGCAGACATTGTTTTTATCATTAAAGATAAAGATCACCCAAAATTTAAAAGGGATGGATCAAATATAATTTACACTGCTAAAATTAGTTTACGAGAGGTAAGTTAGTAGGACCTGGGATTCTGAAACCAGACAGAATTATGCATCCGATCTTAGGGAATTTATGTAAATAATAGCTAATATTTATTAAATGTTTAGTATAGGGCACCTGGGTGGCTCAGTCATTAGGCGTCTGCCTTCGGCTCGGGTCATGGTCCCAGGGTCCTGGGATCTAGCCCCGCATCGGGCTCCCTCCTCCGCGGGAGGCCTGCTTCTCCCTCTCCCACTCTCCCTGCTTGTGTTCCTTCTCTCACTGTGTCTCTCTCTGTCAGATAAATAAATAAAATCTTTAAAAAAAATAAAAAAATAAATGTTTAGTATACGTTATTTTTTAAATTCTCATAAGAACCCTCCAGAGGTGGTACTACTATTATCTCTCTTTTATGGATAAGATTATATTTTCTAAGTTTAGTTACCTGTACTAGCAATTTAAATGCCAACTTGAAGTGCTAACCAGATTATGTACTATGAAGCCTAATACTGGCTTAACAGTTTTTATAGGTATGGTTTATGAGATATGCATTGTAACTGAAGTCCATGTATAAGATTTTTTCTAAAATTGTTAATTTGGAGTAATAATTATATAACAAAAAGATATTAATTTATAAGCATACTGTTTTAATATGAGTCCTTATTTGTTCTATTTTTAGACACTATTTTTCAAATTGCATTATAATCCTGCAAACATGGCCATGTCAGTTCCCTGCTTAAAATTCTTAAATGATCCCACATAGTATCTACCATAAAGTCCAGACTTTTTAGCTTAAAATGAAGGTCATTTTAAATCTGATTTCTACCCATAAATGTTTATGCATTTCCTAAGTTTGCTCTGTTATTATCATACATACATTTATGTCATCGTCTAAATTCTAATCAATGAAACACTGTTGTGTCTCACTCTGCCTCAAAACCTGCTACTGGTCCAATGTTTAGCTCAAGCATTCTGTACTCTCAGAAGCTAAAGGCGGGGAGGGTAAGCTGGGTGCCCTTTGTCTCTTGCAGACTTCTGCACCTCTGTGCTCATGTTATACTGTATTATTATTACCGGTTTGCTTCTGAGTTCCTTGTGCATTCCCTGAGGTGGGGTCTGTGTTCATGGTCCCTAAGCTCAGCATCTAGCAGGAATGTGTGGCATATAGTAGACACTCAGTAAACATTTGTTGACTAAACCAATAAATATATTATTTTTATTTTTATTTATTTATTTATTTTTTTTAGAGGTTACTGCTTGTGTTCTCCTCTAGGATTTTTTAAAAAATTTTTTTATTGTTATGTTAATCACCATACATTACATCATTAGTTTTTAATGTAGTGTTCCATGATTCATTGTTTGTGCATAATACCCAGTGCTCCACCAATAAATGTATTTCTTATCCTAACATTTTTCCTTCCAAAGAGTAGGTAGTTGCTCTTATTCTATTCCTCTCATTCCTAAATTTCTCCCTCTTTTCTTGTCCAGTTCCATCCCTGCATCTTGAACATTGTAATGGCAACCTCGAACATTCCATTTCATTTAAAGGCAATGTGGAAGACATCCTTTCTCTTTCCTTTTCCTTCCCTTCCCCTTCTCCTTTCTTTCTTTTGTAGTATGTCTGATCATGCATGTCCTAAAGGGATCTTTTAATAGGGAAAAAGTCTTACAATTATCGATATTCTTTTAGAGGTTAAAATTTTACCTTAGTGGTTTCATCCTTCACACCTAGTTTTTGTTGTTGTTGAGTTTTTGAAGTTCTGAAGTTTGTTAATTTTATTTGGTCTATTTCAGGCATTGTGTGGCTGTTCAGTTAATGTGCCAACAATGGATGGAAGAACCATACCTATGTCAATAAATGATATTGTGAAGCCTGGAATGAGGAGAAGAATTATTGGATATGGGCTGCCGTTTCCAAAAAATCCTGACCAGCGTGGCGACCTTCTAATAGAATTTGACGTGTCCTTCCCAGATACTATATCCTCATCATCCAAAGAAGTACTTAGGAAACATCTTCCTGCCTCATAGAATGAAAACCTTTGTTACCCATATTTTGATAAGGCACTGAAAATATAAAAGGACTGGCAGTTTACTGATGTAGATGTGAATTCTGTATAAAGATGTGTAAATTATTTTGAGGATTCATTAAATTGCATGAATAGAGACGGGTCAAATAAATAGGCAAAAGGGATTTTTACAGTTAGAGATGAAGAAACAACCATTCACTGTATTTTATTTCATTTCTCCCAAATCAGAAATTTTTTAGTATTTTGCTTACATGTAAAATTTGTTTTTGTGGAGTTAGTAGATATATTTCTAATAAAGTACTAGACTATCCAAGTACTTTATTTCTTTTATCTTTACATTATCAGTATGATAGTTTCTCATTTATAATGGAAATTTAAGTTCTTAACTAACCTACATATGTGATATGTATTTCTAGAAAATAAAAACCCAAGTCATTTGGAAATGTGGTTAACTAGATTTAAATCTCCATCTGAAATGCTGCTATAGGGCTGGGACCCATAAAAGAATATCCTAATGCATATGTTTTGATTTTTAAAGTATGCTATAGCATTTCCTACTAACATGGTTGTAATGTTCTTAAGGCAAACCTTTTCATCATAGAAAGGAAATTAATGGCAATTTATCTCCTGTGGAAATCCCAATTGCCTGAATTACTGATATTTTAGAAATAGGCTGTTTTTAAAATGCCATATGTAATTTTATGCAAGTTGACTATATATCTTGGACTTAATAAATTATAGGCACATTTTATTGTCCATTAGTTTAAAATAATTTGTTTAATAATAAATGTGTTTTTAGAGGGAATATTGTTACTTAGAATTAATTTTCCAATTACACAGTCTTCTATAACTTACTCATCATATGCTATATGTATCTTATGCAATTTCCCTAAAAAGAATAAACTACCACTATGGTGTTAAACCAAAATATGGGGAAAATAAACACTAACTGCTGCTTATGAATGATGTTGCTACTACTTGTTATGCATATAAATATTTTACTTTTTCATATGTATAGACTGCATTTCTTAGGTGTTTTAATTTTTTAAATATATTTACGTTTAAAAAATATTTTGTTTTCCTTTTTTTTTTAACCATAGTAAGAGTGATGTCTTGAAACAAAATTTTTGGTTCAAAAGTAGCTTTCAGGACGATTGATATATGTACAAGGTGAACTGGATCCTATCACCCTTTAGCAGAGTACAAGGGTTCTTTTAGTGATTCAGTAAATAGGTTGTAATCACCACATACTTTATAGCCTTACTGCATTGTAATTGACATGCCATAAAACTACCTTTTTAAAAGTATATAGTTCAGTGGTTAGTATATTCACAGAGTTATGTAACCACTAAGTCTAGAACATTTTCATCACCTGAAAAAGAAACTCTATCCATCAGCACTCACGTCCTATTCTTCAGTGCCTGGTAAATACAAATCTACTCTCTGTCTCTACATATTTGTCTATTCTGGGCATCTAGTACAAATGGGATCAAAGAATATGTGACTTTTTTTCACTTAGCTTCTTTCACTTAACATGATGTTTTCAAGGTACATCCATGTTGCATCATATATCAGTACCTTGTCCTTTTTTATGGCCAAATAATGTTCCATTCTATGGAGATACCACATTTTATTTATCCATTTATTAGCTGATGGGCATTTAGGTTATCTCCTTTTTTTGGCTGTTGTGAATAATGCTGCTATGAACATTTTTGTACAAGTTTTTCTGTACATAACTTTTCAATTTTCTTGGGTATATATCTAAGAATAGAATTGCTGGGAATAATCACATGCTTTAGTTCCAAATGGAACCTGGCTGGCTCAGTTGGTAGAGCATGCAGCACTTGATCTTGGAGTTATGAGTTTGAGCCCCATGCTGGGTATAGAGATTACTTCAAAATAAAATCTTAAAAAAAAAAAATGTTGAAAATGCCAGAGAATTCAGCTAATCATACTTACTATTCCACCTAATTCATAAATAGTCCCTTTATAATTGTGGTTCTCTCAATGACAGTTAAAACTCCTTAGGGAAGTATAAACATCACAACAGTTTTCTCACAGGTCTAAAGAGATAGAGCTGAAAAGCATCAGTCAAGAGTGGTGGATATGATTTCTATATTAAACCCACTGTCAGGCGCCTGGGTGGCTCAGTTGGTTAAGCGACTGTTTTCGGCCCAGGTCATGATCCTGGAGTTCCAGGATCGAGTCCTGTATAGGGCTCCCTGCTCAGCAGGGAGTCTGCTTCTCCCTCTGACCCTCCCCCCTCTCATGTGCTCTCTCTGATATAAATAAATAAAGTCTTTAAAAAAAACTGTCATTTATTGCAATTTTTTTGATTAAGCATTTTCTCCCAAGTTAAAGGATTTATAGATTTGGTGGATGGATAATCTTTGGATTAAAAAGTATTTTTTTAAAGTACAGAATTATTCTTCTAGTAGTAAAAAAATTAATTTTCATTGCTATATAGAAACAGTATGCCAGTATCTTTCTTGCCTTAAAGGATACTGATAATGCCTTCGCATGTAGTTGGTGCCCAATTTTTATTTGTTGTGTTGAATTAATGTAAAAGAGTGTAAAGTTTCCTTATCTATGTAAATTGTGAAAGTACTTTTGATTTTATTTACTTATTTATTTAGTGCTTTTGATTTTAAAATGTTCTCTTTAAATTCAGGGCGCCTGGGTGGCTCAGTTGGTTAAGCGACTGCCTTCGGCTCAGGTCATGATCCTGGGATCCTGGGATTGAGTCCTGCGTCAGGCTCTCGGCTCAGCGGGGAGCCTGCTTCTCCCTCTGACCTTCTCCCCTCTCATGCTGTTTCTCTCTCGCTCGCTCTCTAAAAAAAAAAAAAAAACTTAAAAAAATAAATAAATAAATTCAGTCACATACTTGGATACCTGAAATAGTTTTGCAGTACTGGAGATGCCAGTAAGCTAACTGATAGAGATGTTTATCTTTCCTACAAGAAAAACCAGATTGCTTATGCTTTATAATTAAGATGTTTTTAAGCAAGGCGTACACTGTTGTGTTGTCAACTGACCTACCAATCTCAAATGTGTTATATAAAGCCACTTCACACATTTAGTTCATTTACTTCGCTGCCTCTGAAAGCATCTGAGTTTGTGATCCTTTATCTTTTAGCTCATCACTCGTGCCTATTATTAGCCTTTCTTGGGGGCAAGGAATTGAAAATACTTTTGTTTGCTTACTTTTTAAGAAAAAAACCCTATAATTTGACTAGTTATGATGGATAAAATGATATTAATATATGTGATTGGACTTGGTAAATGGCTTAGAAGTAATTACTCTAGGGCGCCTGGGTGGCTCAGTTGGTTAAGCGACTGCCTTCGGTTCGGGTCATGATCCTGGAGTCCCGGGATTGAGTCCCACATCGGGCTCCCTGCTCAGCAGGGAGTTTGCTTCTCCCTCTGACCCTCTTCCCTCTCGTGCTTTCTATCTCTCAATCTCTCTCTCTCTCAAATAAATAAATCTTTAAAAAAAAAAGTAATTACTCTATCCTCATATTAAGGACTATTAACCTCACAGAGTTGAGGTTAAACATTACCCATAATTTAATAACACAATAGTTATCCAACAATGTGTAACGTAGTGTACTGCCTACATACCTGGCTTATATATATATATATTCCCACTTTATGGAGAATTATAGAAAGAAATGTGATTTGTTACTTTTAAATTATAGCTTAATCAATATTTATTTGAATTGACAAGTTCTATAGGTTGAATATTTCAACCTTTTTATCATTTCTCTTTTTTTCTGTGACATTTTTAATTCATAAAATTCATAAAAGTTTTGGAGCTGGGAGAATTTTAGAGATCACATTTTCTAGATGAGGAAGTAAACCCAGAGATGCTAAGTGACTTTCCTGTAGCTAAAAAGTAAGCTTGTAAGGGAATTCTGAGATACCTTGTTTCTTATTCTCAGTAACAGTTCCTACCTATATATTATGATGTCCCCTGTTGTTAAATTTCCAAGACTAGGTCAAATTCTGTTAAAGTACACTTACCTACTTCTTTGTGCAGTCTGTATAATTCAGTACATTTGAAATATTTTGAGTCGTTTATGAGCATGTAGAATATGAACCTATAATTTGATGGTGTTAACTGGAAAACTTGGAAGATTAATTGTGAAAACTGCTATTTTTTTAAGGGAATTAAGAGCTCAGAATTGAAATGTATCCATCATTAACTTAAAAAAGGTATGCCAGGGTGCCTGGGTGGCTCAGTCGGTTAAGCAACTGCCTTCAGCTCAGGTCATGATCCCAGCGTCCTGGGATCGAGCCCCACATCGGGCTCCCTGCTCAGCGGGAAGCCTGCTTCTCCCTTTCCCACTCCCCCTGCTTGTGCTCCCTCTCTCGCTGTCTCTCTCTCTCTGTCAAATAAATAAAATCTTTAAAAAAAAATGTATGCCAATGTTATTCTCAAAATACTTCAAGGCCACATCTGAGCTTTTAGATAAATAATATAAACTAAATTAATATTTTTCCAAGTAAAAAAGTTACTATCCAAAATATATGATATTATATCATTACAAAGAGAGAGAGAGAGGTGAGAGGTGTTGAGAAGAGGAAGAGGAAGGAAGAAAAAAACCCTGCAGATTTTAGTGAGAAAAATTTGTAATGAGTACAATACATATAGAAGCTCTACAATCAGGGCACCTGGGTGGCTCCGTTGGTTAAGTGACTGCCTTCGGCTCAGGTCATGATCCCAGGATCCTGGGATCGAGTCCCACATCAGGCCCCCGGCTCAGTGGGGAGCCTGTTTCTCCCTCTGACCCTCTCCCCTCTCATGCTGTTTCTCTTTCTCTCTCTCTCTCTCTCAAATAAATAAATAAAATCTTTAAAAAAAAAAAAAAGAAGCTCTACAATCATTTGCAAATATAGTAATCTCTCCCAAACTAAAAATTGATAGGTACATCTTCTCTGTAGCTTTTAGAAATTTGGCTTGTATGAATGCAGTTCTTGAGCCATTCTTTTTTTTTTTTTTTAAGATTTTATTTATCCATTCATTAGAGACAGAGAGAGAGAGAGAGAGAGGCAGAGGGAGAAGCAGGCTCCCAAGGAGCAGGGAGCCCGATGCGGGACTCGATCCCAAGACCCTGGGATCATGACCTGAGCCGAAGGCAGACGCTCAACCATCTGAGCCACCCAGGCACCCAGTTCTTGAGCCATTCTTAATGAGAAAATTGTTTTCAATTTTTTTTCTTATTTTAAGTAAACTCTACGCCACACATGAGACTCAACTTATGATCCCAAGATCAAGAGTCACATGCTTTACTGACTAAGCTAGCCAGGCTCCTGTCTTATAGAGATAATTTTAAAAAGAAGAAACTGGAGGTTGGATAAAGAAAGGGAGAGTAAAGTAAATGGACGAGGAAAGTAAGAAGTTTTGGATACAGCCTTAAACATGGAAAATAAAACCAGAGGCAAAGAACTCCATTCCTGTTTCTGTTAAAGGGATGGCACTGAGATAAATATGAAAAATCTGGACAGAAAGTAGTATTCAGTTATAATAGGTTCTGTATTAGAGAAGAGCTTGAGAAACATTTACATTTTTTAATAAGTTAAAAGTTAGACAATATTTTACTTTATTTTTTTATTAAGAGGTTTTTTTTTTTTTTTTTAAAGATTTTATTTATCCGACAGTGAGAGACACAGTGAGAGAGGGAACACAAGCAGGGGGAGTGGGAGAGGGAGAAGCAGGCTTCCCGCGGAGCGGGGAGCCCGATGCGGGGCTCGATCCCAGGACCCTGGGATCATGACCCGAGCCAAAGGCAGATGCTTAACGACTGAGCCACCCAGGCGCCCCTATTAAGAGTTTTTTTAAGATGATTTATTTATTTGAGAGAGAGACCATGAGCAGTGGGAGGGGCAGAGGGAGAGGGAGAAGCAGCCTCCCCGCTGAGCATAAAGCCCAATTTGGGGCTCAATCACAGGACCCCGAGATCATGACCTGAGCCGAAGGCAGACATTTAACTGACTGAGCCACCCAGGCACCCCTAAAAGTTACACAATATTTTAAATCAACTATATATTTTGCATCTCTAGGACTGGG